GGCATGGGGGGCAGCTCACGCCCCCCCTGCCACTAAAACTGCCCCCAAAACCCCCAAACTGACCCAAAGCCGGGGTGGTCAGAGCAGTGGTGGGCAGCGGGCCGCTGGCATGGGCTGGTGCTGGCATGAACGCTTCAAGCCAGGCACTCGAGGAAGGCTCCTGGGCTCCCTTTGCTCTTCTCTGCCTGAGTTGTTCGATTCTTCATGCATTAATTCCCAATAATCCCTGCCACTAAAACTGCCCCCAAAACCCCCAAACTGACCCAAAGCCGGGGTGGTCAGAGCAGTGGTGGGCAGCGGGCCGCTGGCATGGGCTGGTGCTGGCATGAACGCTTCAAGCCAGGCACTCGAGGAAGGCTCCTGGGCTCCCTTTGCTCTTCTCTGCCTGAGTTGTTCGATTCTTCATGCATTAATTCCCAATAATCTCTTTTGCCTCTCGGCTTCTCCCTTCCCGGGGGAATTTGCTGGCTGTTTGTCAGGGGTTTCCTGTCCACACCTCTGGTAAAAGCTGCGGAGCTGACTCCCTGCTTTACTCCGGTTTGTGTTTTTCCACCTCTTTGCATGCTGGGGTCCCTGTGTAATTTATTTGGGAGTGCTTTAATTTACACCTGGATTGCTGAGACTCTGCTTTCAAACCCTTTAACTCCTTTTAATAGCTCCTAACCCCCAAAACCACCTTCTACCCCGGAGCTGGGCGCAGGGTGGCATCATGGCAGGAGCAACTTTAAGGGCGAAACATCTTAGTTCTCTTTCTGCTCCAGTTTTCTTATCGGCTTATTGCAAAACCCATTTGCCAACCCACCGCCTTCCTCTGCACAAGGCAGAGGAACCAGCAGCCCCCGCTCCCAGAGGGCCACCGGTGCTGGGGGACGGTGCCCCTGGCGCAAGGCTCGCGGCTGCCGAAATTGGGGCCCCCCGCATTTCTCTTCCTCATTTATCCCCAAGCAAAGGGAACTTTGGCCTTCGGCCTCGGTGATTGATGGGCTAAGGAGCTCCAGTGTAAA